CGTATAACTAAGTAAGAATAAGCTACTAAAGTAAAGGTAGAGGTATAACGTATTAAAGAAGATAAGATAGCTAATAGATAGCTCTAGTAATACTTTAATTAATTATAAAAGGCTCTAAAGCGATTAAAATAAGTAGAGTTAAAGGCACTACCTCTATAGTCTATATTTATAGAGCTTATAAAGCTAGTAGTAAGTATATAGGCTAATCTAGCTAAACTATTAAGAATACGATAACTAAGTAGGAAGGTAGTACTAAACTTTTAGTTTAGTAAGCTTAATATATAGCAATTATAATATAGTTTAAATTATATTAATCTATATAGTAATAGTTAAGAAATACTACCTTAAAAACATACTAGAATTATAGACTTATAAGGTTCTATAGGTTATATAAAGTATACTTCTATAGATTAGCTAAAAAGATAGTATAAAGATATATAGGTCGATAATTATCTACCTAATAAAAGGCAACGATATAGCACGCCTACTACGAGACTAGTACTTCTACGTAGTAGAGGAATTAGTATATACTCGGATTTATAAACTACGCCGAAGACCTATATAGTACTATAAGTACTAGGAGATAGACTATATTATATATATAAGTAGCAAACTATAGAGGTATACTAAGTACGCGCAAGAAGGCTACTGCTAGTAAATATATAGCAACTCCCCGCATAGGCCCGAAAGAGAACTATATCGGTATAAGATAAAAAAAAAATTAAATCGACTATAGGTAGTCGTCTCTCTCCGCTGCCGGAATATCGCCGTTCCTCGATCTTAGATGCATTATCCACTCTTTCGTTATGTCCTCGATAATGTTCGAGCTTGCTTTACCTGCACGTCCTGGCGTACTTGTATACTAGCTCACATCTATAGAGTATCTTTAACGCAGCTAGGCCAGATATATCCGCCGCAGGATAGCGTTCGCACGAGCATCCGACTTGAGCTGGTCGATTGATGTCATGATACTGACGGTTGAAATGTGCAGACCTAGTAGCCACAAATGCGTATAACCGCAAACAGCCGGTAAAAGCTGGAAAAATTGGGAGACGGTCTGGGGACATGCAAAACCAACTGACAAAAGTGTCAACATCGAAACTCGCGTAGTTTTGTCTCCGAGGCTTTCATCCAACTCTTGACGAATCGTGACTGCATTCGGATTGATACATCTTGCCTGATGCATGAGTTTGACTCCTTTCTGGTCGGTCAGCTTTGTCGCTTTTCTCTTCTTCACCGGGGCGGATGCTCCTTGTGCACTGACTTGCAGGTTGGCGGATTCTCTTATGATGCTGGAGTCTGGCAGCGTGCGCAAAACGCTTGTCGCGCAAGAAGCTGGCATTGCAGCCTGAATGGCGGTACTCTTGTTCGTATCCCATCGCATAGCCGGGATGTATTGCCCTTCGTCTAAAAGGGGAACTGTTACAGCATGGCTGGAATCTTGCAATCCGTCTGCTGCTAGACGCCTAAGATGCTGTTGCAGTGTCTCTAGGGCACGCTAGAATAGTAACTCGAAATGAGGAAGCACAGCGGTCGCCAGTTAGTGTTAGTTATATATTAATTGCTAAAAGTCGGAGAAAATTCGGCTATAAAGCTCTTTAATAATCTGGAGTAGTTAGTATATCTTACTAAAGTAATGCTCCCGCTTCTTATATCGTTAATAGGATAGCCGATATCTATAATTTCCCTTATAGATAAGCGCTATAAACTAGCTCTAGACTTATATATCTAGATATAGGAGATACCTATATATATTACTTTATTAATATTCTAAATCTATACTTTAGTTATCTCGACTAGGTTAGTTAAGGTAAAAATCCTAAGCTATAATTATAGATAGGCTCCTCTATAGAAAGTATTCGATTAAGTATTAAAGTTAGTATAATAAAGATATCTAATTCTATAGAAGATAGCGAACGAGCTAGCTCTAT